AGGGGAGGAGAGGGGAGGAGAAGGGAGGAGAGGGGAGAAGAGAGAGATTAATTCAAGCCCTTAAATAAAAGAGAAAACACTTGGCTAGCAACACTCTGAATTTGAACTTAACCTCTTAAGGGTCACAGCTACATTTTATTGGTTAGAAATTGAGATCTTGATTGGAATTGAATATTCTAAACTGAAATAGTGAGTAAAAAAGGAACATTTCGTATGGGACAGACATCTAGCAGTGTATTCCACAAATAGACACATTTTAGTAGACAGGGCATTTACCTAGGTTAAACTTTCCAAGTTGAGCCATCACAGCAACTCAATCTAAGGACTGAGAATAGACTTACATTATTATTCAGTGAATTTTATGTAACTAGCATGGCTAATATTCACTTTTACATTGAGATCGGTTTAAATAGCAAATTTGTGGTTAGATTTGGGAAGTCTCAGGTGCCAAGATGACTTCACTCTTGATTTAATCTCAAGGGCCTCATATTGACCCTTGAATGAAGGCTGTGCCATTGAACATTGTCTAGAGTGTTGAGGGCAGCAGATTATTAGGTCAGGGAGGCGCAAGATGATTGCGACTGGGAGACCAGGAAAAGGATGATAATTCTTAGAATTTAATTTCACCGCTACAACCAAGTCAGAACTTTACCTTGGAATGTGCTATTATTAGAAGTGATAAGTACAAGAAAGATAAACAATATTATAGAAATATATTAAGTATTTGAATTGATGAGTAGGGTTTAGTGAAGGTTTCACAAATTTTAAGCATCTTGTTTTGGAGGAGAAGAAAAAGAGGCTGGGATATTAGAAATGGACAGTGTATAATGATTTTGTCAATGCATCAATTTTATAGTGATAAAAGTAAGACATAAACTATGGAAATAACCTGTCACAGAAGAATGGAGATGAGAGCCAGGTCATGTGCTTCTTATTGCTGTGTTCTTTCCGCCACCCCAGACCGATGGGGAAACCTGGTTTGAGGGGTGGAGAACAAGAATTTCAGCTTTAACTGGGACCTGCAGGAGAGATCCTTTTAGACAAAATAAAGGGGAAAAGAGGAGTCAGGGTAGGAAGGAAAAGGGATGTTCATACCAGGTTCAGTCTGACCTAACTGCCCATGATGTAATGTCCATGTCTGATAGAGTGAGAAATGTGTGCCCCTGAGTCCTTCCCTCCACCAGGCCTAAATTCTTCATGGCAGCTGCAGTTGTTCCATGGATGCTGGAGAATCTGGTCTTTGATTTCATTTTTAGGAAGGCCTTTGCCCTCTGGATGAATGTCCTTGCACCTTTCCATTCCCACAGGTTGCTGTTATCACAGAAATTGACCTTGTCCTGGGAGAAGCGTACACGGTGGAGTGGACCTTGACGACGACGAGGGATGAGGAAAAGATCGACTGCTATCCTGATGAGCAGGGAGTTTCTGCAGACAGCTGCATTGCCCGTGGCTGTGTCTGGGAGGTAACCAGACTTAATACCTTACAAGCCTTTCTGCTTACCCTGCACTGTGATGAGAATAGCCCCAGTACGTGCACAGCTACCTAAAACCCATAGAATGAGCTTCTAAAGGAACCTGACTTAGATGTGAATAGTAGGTGGAAATAGGAATGGGATAAATTTTCTTGATATTTGCTTTCTGACCAGGAATTTGAATGTGTGTGGCTCTATCAAATTGATCTGTAAGTGAATGTGTGATGGACTGGCTTTCTCTCTCCTTTTGAGTCTTCCTGCCATTTCTCTTTGCTGTTTCTGGGACCAGACGCTGATCCAACACTGGCCTTTTCTTTCAGGAATCCACTTCTCCTGGGGTCCCTTTCTGCTACTTCGTCAATGATCTATACTCGGTCAGCAATGTTCAGTATAACTCAGATGGAGCCACTGCTGACATCTCCCTAAAGTCCTCTGTTGAAGCCAACGCCTTCCCTTCCACACCCGTGAACCCCCTGCGCCTGCAAGTGACCTACCACAAGAATGAAATGCTGCAGTTTAAGGTAAGCACAGTTGTATAGTTCTGCATACAGTCCTATGGACTCAGTTCTAAGGGTACAGTTTAAAAACTTGTCATGGGACTCCAAATCCCATTAAAATTGGTGGTAAAAATGCCATCTTAATTGTTAAAGTGTTCAAATTAAGTGTTAAAGTGATCATATAGACAGGATTAAATGTTAAAGAGATCACATAATTAGCATCAAGTACCTGGTAATAATAATAGAATTAAAATGGAGGGAATGTCCAACATGGGAAGCAGTCCACACAGCAGACTCATAGAATGACAATCACTTTAAGTAGCACTCTGACCTCAGAATCAACCCTTAAGGCATTTAGATGTTGTGTGGAAAGCCAAGATACTGTGGCAAAAAACATCCTACATGAAAGATCTCTGTGAGTGAGACTCCAGTGGAAAGAAGGGGCTATCAAAGAAGGAGGTACCTTTCTTTGAAGGAAGGAGAGAACTTCCACTTCACTTATGGCCTTGCCTAAATACTGATGGAGTTTGTGGTCACAAGAGACTTCCATAGCCTCGGTAGCTCATATCAAGAGCCTCAGGTGATCACTGACATGATGCATTAGACTGTTAATTGTTAAATTAACAACAGGAGTCACTGTGCACTTACTCCCCACGTAGGACCTCTGCCCTTAATGAGTTGTATTATGAGAATTAACTGCAAAACTGTTCTCAAACTGTACTTTATATGTTGTGTATATGTGTGTGTGTGTGTGTGTGTGCGCACAAACTGTTGAATCTTCACTTATTATAGAGTTGGTCTTCTGTATATAAAGTTAATTAAAATCAATCTTAATGAAGAATGGGATGGGAGAGGGAGTAGGAGGTGGGGCAGGAGTGCAGGAAGGAGGGCGGGTATGGGGGGAAGAACCACTATATTCCTAAAGTTGTACATATGAAATTTGCATTTGTTAAATAAAAGTTTTAAATACATACATACATACATACCTTGGGGGGAAAAAGGGTAATCACAGCTTCTACATCAGGTATTGGGTAGGCCTTTTCAGTTCTGTTACTTTTTGTTATTCAAGATTATAGACCCTAATAAAAGTTTACTCTTCTAAGTTGACCATGCAACAGTAGACTAGATCCATATCCTGATCCTAAGAGCAATGTAAAGGCATTGATGGAACAGTAAGACTTGTCCCAATTTTCACTGTGAAAAGACTGCTGTGGCTACTGTAAGGAAACTGTGGGCAGAACAAGAGTGCTTGTGGAGAGACAAGTTAGAGACTCTCATTAGACCAGGTAAGGGACAGAGCTTAGAGTATGTACAGGAAAGGAGATAGAGAATGGTGGGCATGATGAGATGGAGACGATTGTCTTACAGGACTTGGTGATGGATATACAGGTAGTGATGAGAGAGGGAATCATGAGACAATTATCATGTTTCTAACCTGCATCTGCATGTAGATAGCAGTGATGTTAACTGACATAGGAACACTGAAACAGTCTGCTTTGTCTTTACAAGATGATGAGTTCATGGTGGGCTCTGAATTTGAGTTATCTGTGAATAATCACTAAAGATTAGTGATTTGTTTTCCTTCCATGGTTTCATCATAACTAAGGGTTAAAGGAGGACTATCTGTTCTTATGTCTGTTTCTGTATTAAACTATGAGCCTCTTGAGGATAAGAATTCAACTTTTTATATTGGAGCTTCTGAAATCTTACTCAGAGGCCGATAGATTGTAAGCACTCAGGGTGTTTATTGAGAAATCAAATTAATGAGGTGAGGACACTGTGGCATTGACTGAAAGGTTCTTCACAGTGTGGCGTCAGTGTGGACTCTCCTAATGCAGGCATCATGCTCTTTTATGTTGGTGTCTTCATAGCACCAGCATATGGCAGTGCCTAATGGGTTTAAAGAGAATATACTCCCCTGGGGTATTAGCCCTAACTCCTGTCTACTCTGCCTTCTGACCATGCAGTAGTCTCTCCTAATTATTTGCATCTTTATGAGTCTACTTTAACATTCTGTGCCTTTGTTTTATTTCTTTACTAGAATGTCTGATACCATTTCTGTGCTTGGTTAATGGCTATAAAGCTTTTAATGCCTGTATTTCTTCCATGTAACCATCTCATTCTCTCAAAAACAGCAACAGACGTTTCCTTTCCTGTAATCTCCCAGAAATCTGCACAGTTCTGCACTAGAACACACTATGCGGGATCATGGATCTTTCACATTCACTTCCCCAAACCAGGTGGATTTCTTAAAGTGACAGCCATGACTTATTTAGTTCACAACCCTAGTGTCCAGTACAGTGTTCACCAAGCAAATGGTAGATATGCAGTGACTCAGATTTATATGTAATCTATAATTCTTTTAATAAAACATACTTGAATTATTTGAGGGTTCTTTTTAAAATTTTATTTAAGTTATGCAAGTTTCATATATTTCTTATATGCACATTTAGGAACATAGTGACACTTCCCCCTTACCCTCCCTCCTGCCCACACTCCAACACTTCTACCCCCCTCTCACATTCCCACTCTTAACTTTAAAAAAGATCTATTTTCAGTATACTTAATGATAGTGTAGTTAACCCTACTCTAAGTAAAAGAGTTCAACAAATAGTATGATGAGAAAAAAAAAGCTGTTCCTCAATGGAGGAGACAGGATGATAAACACTCATTGAATCTCAAAATGTCCATTCCACTCCAATCCATTACGCTTCAGGTATACTTAGTGAAGTTAGCCAGTCCCCAAAAGACAGATACCATATGTTTTCCCTGAACATAAATAACTAAAAGAATACTTGAAATGGGGGGGGTCTTTTTAATTCTGAAAGTTTTCAGGTCTTCATATATTCATATGCCCATAAAATTAATAATTACATTATATATAATATATAAAAAATAAAAAATTAATAATATATTCATAGATGCCACACTGATTTCTGAATTATTTTTCCCGTTTGCACAAATGTCCAAGTGAATACATTAATGTGATAGAGACCTTAAAAATGAGATAGGGCAAATAAAATGTGAAATCTTTACATTTTTCTTCGACATGTTAATTCAATCCCAGCTGTGAATTCAAAGAGAAAAAATATATATAACATGCAGGCACTTTGTCAGGTACACCATGGTTCTGCTAACGGTATAGATTTAAACAGAATTATTCTTGCTCCCAATCTTTCTTTTTTACTGACAGATAATAATTGTATATCTTTATTTACTACAGCATAATATTTAGTGCATTTCCACATTACATATTGATCAAGTCTGGATATTTATCCATCATCTCAGACATCAATTATTTATTTGTGATAAGAGCATACAAAATTCTCTCTTCTATCTCTGTTTAATTATACAATACAATATTGTTAACTATAATCACCCTCTGTGTGATGGCACACCAAAATTTGTCCCCCCCCCCTGCACCCTTGTCTAACACCTGTTCCCTCTGGCCTAGATCTATGACCCCAACAACAGTCGGTATGAGGTCCCAGTCCCTCTGAACTTACCCGGGGTTCCAGCCAGCAGCCCTGAGAGTCGGCTCTACGAGGTCTCCATTGGGGAGAACCCATTCGGGGTGGTGATTCGCCGCAAGAGCACAGGCGCTGTCATGTAAGTGCTGTCCTGGGAAAGCCAGCTGCTCGGGGCCCCGAGGGAGGTCCGTGTCTGCTCCCAACCCCTGTCTGTGTTGCAGCTGGGACTCTCAGCTGCTCGGCTTCCTGTTCAACGACCTGTTCATCCGCATCTCCACCCGCCTGCCCTCCGCGTACCTGTATGGCTTTGGGGAGACGGAGCACACGGCCTTCAGGAGAGACCTGAACTGGCACACGTGGGGCATGTTCTCCCGAGATCAGCCCCCGGGGGTAAGGACGGAGCGCTGGGTTCTGTGTCTGCCCCTCTGCCAGCGCTGGGTGTGCACGCGCTGTGCTGTGCCCTGCCAGACTCCACCTGCTGGGTCCCCCCTTCTGCTTCTCCACCAGGGGTGTAGTTCCCAGGCTCTCTGGTCACCTGTGTTTAATCAGTCACAAGGAAGACTGGACTCATTTAAGAATCAAATTTTTGTTGAGTTTCTTTCTCCCTATATTTAACTTTTTTGGGGAAGTCTGAACCATCATACTTTTGTTGAGTTTCTCAGCCACAATGTCTTTAACCCCTTTCCGCCTCTCTGTCCTGGTTCTTAGTACAAGATGAATTCCTATGGGGTGCACCCCTACTACATGGGCCTGGAGGAGGATGGCAGTGCCCACGGAGTGCTCCTGTTGAACAGCAACGCCATGGGTAAGCCTGTGCCATGGCTCCCTCATCTCTGTGCACCGTTAATTCTTGAGTAGCCCTGGAATATATTTGACCTAGCTTCCCACTGAGATCAAAATTATCATCTTGTGGAGTTTTAAGCGTTCTATTTCTGTAGACTTTCGATTTATTTCAGTTCAGTAATAAGTGTTAAGGCTTCACTCAGCTGTTGTTTTGGCAAAAGCTGTGTAAGCAGCGTTAGCTAACCTGAGTGCTAAATACTCCAAGGTCAGCTAGAGAGAGCCAGCTGTATCATTGAATTACCAGTGAAGCTAAAATTTGAGCACTCATTTAAGAGGTGTAAAGATATGAAAAAAATCTTGAACATTGGTAGGTGGAGAAAAGACGTGCATAAAAGTGGATGAAAGTCATAAGGTGCACACTTGAGTTAATAGTATTGTAGCTGTGTCAGTTTCTTTAAGTCTGACAATATCCAATTTGTATGTAAGATATTATCGTTGGAAGAAGCTGAGTGAAGTGTACACAGAAACTCTGAGTGCTATTTTTAACTTCTTGCATGTCTTATATTATTCTGAAATAAAAGTGGTAAAATACTTTTAATAGAGCAGAATGATAAAATGTACAACAAAATAATGAAGAACAGCAAAGAAAGGTCCGGGGATGGGGCCCCGTGGACTTCGTGTAACTGCATCAGTCCTGTGTGGGAATCGCTCTTAGTTCTCTTCAGTACGGAGGGCGCAGGTAGAGGACGAAAGAGGTGATTCCCCACCTTGAAGGATTCCCTCATGGTCGGCATTTTCCTGCACCACAGATGTGACGTTCCAGCCCACGCCCGCCCTGACGTACCGGACCACAGGGGGAGTTCTGGACTTCTATGTGTTCTTGGGGCCCACTCCAGAGCTTGTCACTCAGCAGTACACCGAGGTAGGAGGGAGTTTGATTGGTTGTCAAGTGTTTATCCAGCACATTCTGTGTGCAGTACCTACATTAGGAGGTATGAGTTTCAGATGAGTAATTGGATTTGTTTTGTTTCTTAGAGATAGGTAGAGTGTAGAATAAGGATAAATGTGCACCTTATAAAACTCCTGGGATGAATAGCCTTTCTGGACGTTGAAGAGGAACAGGTGTAGTAGTGGTAGTGATGATGATGATGACGACAGTGGTAACAGTGAGGAGCTGGGTGGGGGTGTTGTGTGGTGATTGTGGGGATGATGAGAACAATGACGTTGCTAGCAGTGGTGGTTTTGGTTTTGATGGTGTTGGGGTGATGGTGGTGTCGGTTTGGGGTGTGAGGAGAGTGATGGTGTTAGTGCTGGTGGTGCTAGTGATGGTCAAGGTGGAAACAGTGGTGGTAGTGGGGGCGACTGTTGTAGGGATTGACGGGGTGATGTTAGTGATGGTGGTGATGATGATAACAACGAGGGCAATGAGGGGGATGGTGGTAATGATGTGGTGGTGGAGACTGAAATGTAGTGACAGTTGTGGTGCCAGCAACACATACTTATGTACCAGCCACTAAATGTGTCACTTATCTGTTCCATAACATATATCAATATAGCAATGCAGATAGGAGAGTATTTCAAAGTTTCAAGGAAAATGGAATTAAAGGTAAGCTTTATTTTGATGGAGAAAAAATTGAAAACCATGGATACTTTAATCATAATACGTATTTTCTAAGAACTTTCTAAAGTTCTTAGAAATTCATGTTCATATACATGAGTTTCAAAATATTTTTGCATCAAACTAAACTTACCTTTGAATTCCCTCTTCCACTTATTTTCTAAGTAGCTTGTATTAACTCAGTCCTCATGAAACCAGTGTGAGACATACTGCTAGTAGCCCCAACTTATCATTAAGAGATCAGTCTGCAGAGAGGTTATTTAACATTTGCTCGAGATCACAAACCCAGCAGGACCTGGAGCCTGAATGCTAAGCCAGGCCTTTGGCTTCCATATAGGAGAAGTATCTAGATTGCCTGCAGGAATAAGAGCAAATCAGATTTTCAAGAATTCCAAGGAAGTCATCAAGTCTAGCAGGGAGGTCTTCCCACAACATCTCACTGGCTCTGCATTCCCTCAGTTTCTCTCCAGATTTGAATGTTTGGTTTGGCATACGGGAAAAATATTCTTATTCCTTCATACAGAACTTCCATCCAGCTCCTGCTTCTTGAGGACTAATACTTGGTGTCTACTTCCCAGGTGATTGGCCGTCCTGTGATGGTGCCTTACTGGTCCCTGGGCTTCCAGCTGTGTCGCTATGGCTATGAGAATGACACGGAGATTGCCAACCTGTATGATGACATGGTGGCGGCCCAGATCCCCTATGTAAGTTCTCAGTGCTGGGGCCTGGTTCTGGACCTCACACTCACCCAGGGGTCTCTGTTTCTGGACTCCTTTGTAAAATTTTATGATATTCTACAAAGAAAAAGTACTTTTTCATACAGTGTCACATAGTGCCTCCTCCTGCTACAGTAACACATGGGGGTCCTGTCTTCTTATAGAGATGGAACTCAAAACTTACAGTATTTTACCGAAGGCAGACAGGGCTAAGAGGGCTCCAGTGCCTTTCTTGCTGCATCGTGTGTCCTTCTATTTCTTTTACCTGACTTCAAAACTCTTAGTGAAAAAATCTTGATTTCATGTGAACAAAGGTCCTGCAAACTGCCCCGTTAAAGCACAACTCAAGTGGAATCAGGCCGTTACTCGCAGATACGTATATCTATGTCGTCAGTTCCAACCTTTTGCTTCTTGCTTCTCACACTGTTGTCGTGTGCTCCATCAGCTCTGAGGAAAACACTGGTTCTAAGGGCCTGGATTCCTGAAGAAATCAATGGGGCAGAACTGTGTCTTTCACTTGAGGACAAGAGATCCAATAATCAGAGAACCGGTCCTATGGATCTCTGATGTATTAATTTTATTCTATCTAACTTTTTATATTGTTTACCATTGGTCTGGTAATGGGAAGTACACCATGTGATATTCATGAGAAACAAATCATGTCTCATTAACTCGAAGACTGACAATTCTAAAGCCATTACAGGTTTTTATTTTATAGTAGATTTGCCATCTGTGTTGCCTGCTGGATTCTTTTTCTTTTTATTTTATAACTGAAAATTTGAAAAAGTTGGTGTATTTCCAAGAAAATAATACTGAGATGTGAAGACATAAAAGACGCTGTCTATAACTCAGGGTGCCGTGGCAGAGGGCTGCTAGTGGAGCCTGGGCTTGGACCGCAGCAGCACTCGGTGGCCCTGTGTCTCTCCCCAGGACGTGCAGTACTCAGACATCGACTACATGGAGCGGCAGCTGGACTTCACCCTCAGCCCCAAGTTTGCTGGGCTCCCAGCTCTGATCCAGCGCCTGCGTGGCGATGGGATGCGGGTCATCCTCATCCTGGTTGGTGCTCACGTGATGTCATGTGGGGAGGCTGATGGGCTGTGGGGGAGAAGGCCCTGTGCTGTCCTTCCTTCCATGGAGTGAGCGGGAAATGGAAGCCCCACTAGGAAATGCATTTCCCTGGGGTCCAGAAACTACCACCCAGGGGACCCTAAGGCCTTCTCTCTGCAGGAATTCTCCTTTTTCATGTCCTTGCCATTGCCAGCTTTGGTTTTCGCAGCTGACTTGTGGTTTGATTTCAGGACCCAGCGATCTCTGGCAATGAGACGCAGCCTTACCCTGCCTTCACTCGGGGTGTGGAGGACGACGTCTTCATCAAATACCCAAATGGCGGCGGCATTGTCTGGGGAAAGGTATGAGCTGGGCAGTGAAGTCCCCAGGCGGGTCACTGGTTGTCTCTGTGGGTTTATTTTTCTTTTTCTATGTCGCCTTTGGGTCAGCAGTTTTCACTTTTTTCCAATCAAAATGTGTTGAGCACTTTTAAAGTAAGATAGATGCATTGTGGAATTCATTTTTAAAAATAGTGTAATCCTACATGATAAATTCTTATTACTTCTAGAGCTATAGCTTGAAGTTTCTTAGGAAATACCATGTAAGAGGGATTGACTGCTTGGTGCTACTGAACCTTTTTTCTCTGCACAGGTCTGGCCTGACTACCCTGGTGTTGTTGTGAACAGCTCTCTGGACTGGGACAGTCAAGTGGAGGTAAGAGACCCCCTGTGGGTGTTGAGTGTGGTCAGGGTTGCTGGAAGGAGCAGTTGTGCTTAGGATTCTTGACATGCCTGTACCAAGGACAGGAACATGTCCAGGGAAAAACTTTAAGATTTCCATTTATGCCAGTTACTTCACAGGCAGAATTGTTTCTGCCAACAGGGAGTTTGGTATTATTATTCTTGTGAATTAAGACTCAGAGCTTAAAATCCTCATCAAACCAAGAGTTTGTGACTTCAAACCAAGAGCTGTCAAATTCCAAAGACCCATGTAAATCTCACTGGATAATGTCTCCGAGAATTACTGTATGTTCTCTGAATAAGAACCTGTGTAGCTGTCACTGTTACTGCCTTGGGCACTACTGGGAACAGTCTCTAATTCTTGTCTTTAGTGATTGGGTCCTTTCCCCTGTACATACTGTTTTCATGGAGAGACTTCTCCATCTTTACACAGAAATCCCCTTGCCCTTACTTTCTTGGTTTTCTCAACTTGGCTGTCAAACCTCTCCGTTTCCTGACCTATGTTAAAACTTGCTCTGTTCTGGAACTTGTCATGGGCCTAGGTAGTCCACGCTTCTGGACCAGAATTTTCCCCAGCTTTGCTAAGCATCTGTTGCTTGAATGAATACGTGGTTTGTTGATTGTTGGGGAAAGTTTCAGCTACATCCTCTGACCAAGATGTGTGAACAGTGGTCTGATGCAGCCTGATTTGTTTTTTGTTCCTGATTATTCTAAGAATATATGTGAGTGGGGTTCTCTGTGTATGTGGACACTCTTCTGCAAAGCAAGAGCTTGCCCACCCCCTTTTAGCTCTTTTTCAACAATGAATGACTATTCATTCAGATTAGGGTTGCAGGAGGGCATATGTAGTTGATGTAATCTCTCTAGAATAGCTGGGAAGACAAGTAAAGCGCTCATTTCCTAGGGCATTTGCCAAGGGCTAACAAAAGAAAGAAGCTGGCCTTTTCATACAAGCAACGTGGTATATATAAGTTGTTCTGTCTTGAGTCTGTCAGGCTCAAGGATTAATCACATAAATCTCAATATTGTGGGAGCATGGATCGGCGGCTGTGAATCCAGGCAGAAGTCTCACAGAAACTCAGGGACATGAGTTCTCTCTGTATAATGTAGTGTTGTAGCCATTAGACAGAGGTACAGGAGAAAGGCTCTAGTCACCAGGAATGGGGCTGGCAGGAGGTAGGCCAGAAATCCATGTCTTACTTAGATGAGTTAGTTTTCAGAGCAAATGGTAAGTCATAGAGGGGAAGTGGACGTTAAGTGGAAACAGTATGGTGTGTTGACCAAGGGCCCAGTGCTGGGCGATTTCAATGGAGTAGTGAGATTACATCCTATGTGAGCCAGCGATGTACTTATCTGGTGTTGTTCTTGTATCTCCTGGATCCCAGAGCCGATTAGCAGCAGTTGAACTCTAGATTCAAAACAAGAAAGTGACACTGGGACCAGTCTGTGTGCCTGTTAGACTGTGTGTCACTGTCTAGCAGTAGGCACCATAGGAAAATAGAACTAGAGCAGGTTCCCATGGTTGTTAAGGATGGTTCAGACTCAGTTCCCATCTTTTCGTTTGTTTTGTCTACTGTTTGACACATTTCTGTCTGTCTATCATGAACTCTAGGGTGAGCATCTAACTCTTTCTCCCCATTACTTTTCACAGAGGATTGCTTGAGATTTGGTGCCCCAGGAAGCTGAAACTGCCAGACCATAAACACCTAGGGGTCATGAGCTTCCTGTCTTTTTCATCTTTGCACTGGTAGACAGCCGTGTGAGATGTCAAGGGGTTGGCAGCTCTGCTACTCTGAGTCCCACAGTTCGTGAGTCTTTATGGGCAGTGCTGCCATCTTGCAGGCATTTGGGGCTCCTCAGTGCAGCACTGGCTATCACAGTGACTGGGGAACACCAAGTGGCTGTTTCTGTGTGGTGACCAGGGATGCCTGTAGCTCTTATTGCAGTGGGTTCTCCCTAAATGATCTTGCCCTAAATGTCAATTGCACCCCTGAGAAACACTGTATTATAGGGTTCTGGATCTATTAGGCAGCTCATAAGAAATCTTAATTGCTACAGTAATTATATTCAAAAAATCTATTAGATGATGCTGGTAGAGAATGAGGCTACTGGTGTGTAAGTCTGACCTAAGAAACAGCCTGTAGACAGTGCTTTTCTGAGTTCAAAGTTTGGAGACTTAAGTCAACTGATCTTGAGTGTGGTCTAGGAATGGCACTTTGATAGCACCATATGCAGGTGGGCTGATGAGCAGAGGTAGTGAGAACAGAGGCAATAAGGCTGGAGTTGGACACAGACAGGAGTGAGGGAAAACCAGTACTTTGGGCAATGACGGAACATTTTTTTGTTATGTGGATAAAGATCACAAGTGCAGAATTTTATGAGGTTGATAAATCATGTTTACTTTAATTCCCACTGAATCCCACATTGGGTACAATTCTGACTCAACAGAATTGGCACTGACTTTATTCTAATTCTCTGTCCTCCACCCTCCCCAGTGTCCCAACCTTGGCTAGACTGGAGCTGTCTGGCTGGTGAAAGGTTCTCTTTATCTGGTCCTGTGGTTTTTTACCAACAAGTGCATCCCTGGTGTGACCCTCTCGGAAGTCTGAAGGACGTTCTTCTGCTGGGAAGACTCTCGTCTACTGATCCATTTCTGTCTCTTCCCTTGCCTTCTATCTAGACACATGGACTCCTCCTTGCATTTTGTCTACTGTGTATAAGAACCTTAGTTCCCCTAGGCCCATTCCTGTTTCTGCTGTTTCTCCCCACCCTTGATTCCAGCATTGTTTGATTCTTTTTGTGTGTGTGATTCTTTAGCTCTTAAAATGCAGTTAGTAACACAGTGGAGGCTAGGCATTGAGGCATACAAAGAAACACCATTGGGAATCATTCAAAGGGAGGTACATGTTGTCTACACTTTTGGCTAAAATAACACACTGATTTTATAGTTGAGGGAAGGTGAAGAGAAGGGAAGTATACACTTCCTGTTCAAGTCCTCCCAATTTGCATTACACACACGCTTGCATGCGATTCTGAAGGCTTAGAGAACGCAGGTGCTTCCTCATGGTTCACCTGTTTCTTTCTCACCTGGCTCAGTGCAACTATGTCTGCCCTGTGGGGCTGCAGGTTCTCCTGGCTTCTGCTTTGTGTTCACGAAGTCTGTAGGCAATGGCAAGACAGAAGCTGAGGGCTGCGATCTAACACTGAGATAGTGGGTTCTGCTTGTTACCATTCATGCTACTGGGGAAAAGGAAAGCCAAATATGGATCTTTTCCATTTTAGCAGATGGGGTGCGATTTGAAGTAATTTCTCGTCCTTACTTTCAGTGTTTTTCTGCAGAATCAGGACTGTTATTTATTTTTGGCTATGATCAAACTATTATTTTGTGGTTCTAGTCTTTGCATGAATTCCCAGTGGGTGCCTATCTGCTCTCTAATATATGTGTTTGGGACAAATGGACTGTATTTAATTCTTACAGCAATACCGAGCTTATGCGGCCTTCCCAGACTTTTTCCGTAATTCAACTGTCAGCTGGTGGAAGAGGGAAATACAAGAAATGTACACCAACCCACAGAATCCCGAGAAGAGCTTGAAGTTCGACGGCTTATGGATTGTAAGTGTGTGTGTGTGTGTGCGTGCGCGCGCGTGTGTGTCCATCTCTGTACCTACAATGGGTTTCACGAACCTTTAGTTAAAAGGATAAAGTCTCCCAAGAAGGACTTAGGACACACTAGACTGCACTTCCCCCACCTGGGAATGGCACAGCCCTGCACACCCTCATGCCTTCTACTTGGCTTGAGGTTTCTGCTCTAAAATCTCAGAGGTGTTGTAATAAATACCTTAGAACTTTGCTTTCCTTACATTCTGGTGGGGATATTTGTTTTTTGTCTTTCTATTCGGTCATTCTGTAGGAGTTAATTGATCTCTTCAGTCAATCCCTCTTGGGACATGGCGAGCCTCCCTGGGCTGACATCTACAGAAACTGCTGGATGTTGAATGCATATTCACCGACTTGTCTCTGAACTGACAGGGTATAGCCATCTTAGAAGTAAGCGGTGTCTGTGTTGACATTTCCAGGACATGAATGAGCCGGCGAGCTTTGTGAATGGGGCAGTTCCTGCAGGCTGCACGGATTCCACTCTGAACCATCCCCCCTACATGCCACGTAAGGACCCTTGTTCCCCTCACCAGCAGAGCCACAGCCATTGAGAGCCCAGTGGCCAGGGTCTTGTCTGTTGGTGCTATGGTGCTTCAAGCAGTTTTCTTACTTGGGTGTGTGCAAGTGAATTTCTCAGATTTGTCCAGAAAGCACATGGAAGTGACAAGGTCTCTAATGGATTCTCACAGCTAAATGTCTAAGCACCTTAGGCTTATCTTAATTCCTTCACAGAACCCTGTTACCCACAAAGTTGTGTCTCCCCCTTACCAGAGTGTGCATAGACACTGGAGCTATGCTTGTGTTCACGGCTTGGCTCCAGAGATCACTCTCTGCGAGAAGAGTGACTTTCCACATTATTTGGTGCTTCCAAATCTGTTTTGTGAGACATAAAATGCTGCTGACACTCTCCTCCTCCTACCATTATGGTGATGATTATGAGATCATTTGCATGTTGAAATCTAGATCGGAGCCTGTCAAGCTCTGCTGACAGCCGTGCATTCTTCCCCAAACTTCTTTGTTCAATGCACTTGATGTTCAGAACGCTGCAGGTACTCTTGTGTCTCAGAGCGGAGGTGCTCCCACACCTCTGTTGAAGACGAGATGGACTCGTGCTGAGGTCAAGTTGTCTTAAGATCCACAGTGCAGGCTCTTGAAGAGGGTCTAGGACACTCGGGATCAGAGCTGGCTTTAACATCCCTGCATCTTCTCCCCCAGACCTGGAGTCCAGGGGCACGGGCCTGAACAGCAAGACCTTGTGCATGGAGAGCGAGCAGATCCTGCCAGACGGCTCCCGTGTGCGGCACTACGACGTGCACAGCCTGTACGGGTGGTCTCAGACCAGACCCACCTACGAGTGAGTCACTGTCTCCCTTCTCCACTGGGTACAGCCTGCAGGACAGCCAGTGATGGATGAAGCTACTGTGTAGCCATTCCCATTTACTAAGCAAGCACTCATTGAGCCAGAATCAGGACATGTGCTTATAGATTTATTTAGATAAAGCAGGGGTTCACCATTTGTCATTGGTTCCATAAACATCAGAAGTCACAGCACAATGTGTTACTTGTGCACTTGTGTTGGTGCCTGCACAAATAACCCTACTGCACTGCCTGTCAGATAAAGCATAACAATGTGGTCTGGCATCACATTCAGTAACCATGCTTATCCCATCACTGGACAGTGGGAAGTTTGAGCTCCATTACAATTTTATGGGATCACCATTGTAAGTCTGAGCCATGACTGATTGGAAGAACATTATATGGAGCATGAATGCACTGAGTAAAGAAATAGAAAATTTGCAATATTTAGTGATATTTTCTGTCATTAACTCACCTCCTTTCCCTCCACCAGAGCCGTGCAGGAGGTGACGGGACAGCGAGGGATCGTCATCACCCGCTCCACGTTCCCCTCTTCTGGCCGCTGGGGGGGACACTGGCTGGGAGACAACACAGCCGCGTGGGACCAGCTGAGGAAGTCTATCATTGGTGTGCAGCCTTGTGCCAGGGCCCCTGCTGGCAGGGAGGGGGCGGTGAGGGGGGAGGAGGCAGGGCTCAGGGCCTGGTCTCACCCCGCTGTGGTTCCCTTTGCAGGCATGATGGAGTTCAGCCTCTTTGGCATTCCCTATGTAAGTGTCCCTGGATCCCTCCTGCTGACCTGGGAGCTGGAGCCAGCGTTCAGAAACCCTCAGCAGGCCCCTTTTCTTGCTTCTCGGTTCAGACAGGAGCAGACATCTGTGGGTTCTTTCAAGACGCCGAATATGAGATGTGTGCTCGCTGGATGCAGCTGGGGGCCTTTTACCCCTTCTCCAGGAACCACAACACCGAAGGGACCAAGGTAGGGCATTCGCTGCTCCCTCAAGTGTTGTGTGTGGTGTGAAAGGCGCCCTCCATTTGTGAGCTACAGTTTATGCAGTCTATTCCCTGGGGTATCTTCAATGTCATTCAATCCTGTGTCTCAGTGAACTATACTCCCAGATACCTTTAGCTTATTCTTTTTGTTTAGACAGAGATTTCCAAACAGTTCTATAGGACAGTATCTTCTAGGGTAATTTGATTAGTTGTCCTTGGGGAGCCACAGCGATCTTTTCCAGTCTAGTGAGTATGTTCTCTGTCTTTCATCTGTTATTAACTTTGGTGTGGCTGTGCGTGGTCCTCATCAGGAATAAGCTCTCAGTGACTTCCTCAACGTCCCCTAGGCTGAGCTCCTCACAGTCCTCTTCCTCTTTTGCAGAGACAAGACCCTGTGTCCTGGAACGCCACCTTTGTGAATCTTTCCAGAAGCGTCCTGGAGACCAGATACACCCTGCTGCCCTATCTCTACACCCTGATGTACAAGGCCCACGTGGAGGGCAGCACTGTGGTGCGGCCTCTCCTGCACGAGTGAGTGTCTAGTGGGACCTCAGTGACCAACGGGTGACTTCCTGCCTTCCTTGGGGTAGCAGGGAATGAAAACAATGATTTCAGAATGGAGATAGGATTGCCTTGAGACAAACTCTGTATTCACTAACCATATGCTATTACCCCTTTCTGCACAGTGATACATGCCATAGATAATTGATAAAAGGTTCTTTCTTTAATGAAAAAAATTTAAATGATATACTTGAGCACAGGGTTGCTTCTTTTCAATTTTCACTTTGGCTGTGTGAAGCCCACCTGGCATCCATAGCTATTTTGTCATGTGTTGTCCCAGGTCCCAGTGTGCTCAGGTCCCACAAGAAGGCATTTTCCAAGTATGCTTGAGGGATCAGGGCCTTGCTTGCATTTAAAGTGTGCACAGTGAAGCCCTGTGGAAATATTTTATAGTAGAGAAAATAGCTACACCTAATAAGCTCTGACATTTAAGGTTCATGTCCTAGGACAGATGGCTGTGGGCCTGTGTGTTCCTGAGTGAGCCAGGCCTAGGCCAGCAGTAAGGATCCTCAGGTGCAGCGGGTTCCTGACCTGGGTCTGAGTTGAGGACTTCCTTCAGGGCTGGGCTGGGCTGGCTGGGCTGTGACTGTGGCCCCTTCCTGTCCTCTCCAGGTTTGTGTCAGACCGGGTGACCTGGGACATAGACGGTCAGTTCCTGCTGGGCCCGGCCTTCCTGGTCAGCCCTGTGCTGGAGCCTGTGAGTAGGGGGCCTCTGGTGGGCAGAGGGTCTCGGCTGTGAGGCTGGAGAACAGTGTGGGGAGAAGAGGCCTGGTGCCGGGTCCTGACACCTGCTTCTTGTCCTGCCTCTGTCTCTTCCTGTTCTCGTGAGCCTGTCACTCAGGGACTCTGGGCCTCAGCTCCTACAGCTCTCAAAGCTGCCCAGCAATTGTGGTTCTTAGGACGATCAAATATGATGTATGTAAGTGTATTCATTTCTCTGTTAGTGGAAACGATGCATACAAGGTCAGATGGCAGTGCTCACATAATTCATCCGTTTCTCTATCGCCATTAAAAGAACTTGAGTGAACTGCGTGCAGCAGTGTGCCACCTCCCCGCTGGCTGGCCCTTCCCTCCCCCTCCTGCAGGCCCTCTGGCCACAACAGCTGTTCCTCAAAGTCCTGCATTGGCAACTGGGCTTCTGGCTGAAATACCAGCTGATGGCACCTCCTCAAATCTCACTGTACCTGTGTGGGCCCAGCATCCGTCACAGTAGGATGCTGTGGGGAGCCTGAATCCATTCTCATGAGCCTCCTTGGGGCACTGGCTCCTCATTCCAGTCCAGCTTCCTGCTCGAGTTCACCCTGCGATTCGCAGTTGTTGGCTCAAGTACTTTCCTAAGTGCTACCCATGTGGAAGACCTGGAATGAGACCCAAGCTCCTGGCTAGGCTTTGCCAGTCTGGGCTGTTGAGGGCATTTGGGAAGAGAACTAACAAACGGAAGACCTCCCTCTCTGTGTGTCTCTCTCTGTTTCTGTCTTTGAAACAGCAATATTGAAAAATAATCTCATTTTACCTACAAATTCTTTTGTCCCTACTACCAAAACTGAATTGTTTGTTTCTTTAGAGGTGGGGTGGGGTTGATGGAGTTACTTTATAAGAAAATGGTAATTATTTTTTCTTGAATTTTTGGTTGGAAAGAAGATTTTATGGAAGCCACTTGTTTAGGGGAGGCGCATTTGCCCCTGTTTGGAAAGTTCTCAGACTGCTGAGTTCCAGAGAGAAGTGGGCCCAAGGCATCACTATGGTTTTAGCTCTTTCCTCTGCAGACTTTTTACTCTGCCCTGGCTGACTGTGCCCACAGCCCATGCCTTGTCTGTGTTCAATTCCAGAACACCAGAGAAGTCACCGCGTATTTCCCTGAAGCCCGCTGGTATGACTACTACACGGTAAGTTTTTCTAAATATTTATCTAACTTGGGAGTGTGGTGGACTATAAGAGCTTTAGATGGGAAAGTCTTCAGGCCAAATGCTGCCCCCGGGTCCCGCCTGGTGTGTTCTTGGTCCCACAGCTTCACCCCTTGTCCCTCAGCTTTCTCACCTCCAGATGGGGCAAGATCACTCCCTCATAGCAGAACAGTGGAACAACTGATAAGGCGCCTCACTCTGAGCCTGGCTGTCCACGGTGTTCGTTATGTGTCTGTTTTTACCTTTCCTGTACCACTGCTGGTCCCAGAGGAGTGTAAGAAAGATACTGACAACCATGCCAAATAGTGCTGTAACTACAGGTTTGCTTATACCCTCTCCTGTTCTAAGTGTGTAAGTACAGAGGCCCTTTAATCTCTTTTAATCAAATGGCTTCCTGTACAGCATAGATGCTCAGAGAATGGTTGTACCATGAATTGCCTAAGGTGTGCTGAGTTATGAGGTCTTGCGTAAAACGCTCATGGAGCTATTTGCCCTAACCCTTGCGAGTCAAACAGTGCAATCCCATTTAGGAGTAAGGAGCCCAACAGGTGCTCATCAACACATATTTGCAGAGGTATTTTGAGTCCAAAAGACTCATCAAAGAAACGGAGTCTTTGAATAATGTTGGGATGTTCTTTGAGGGACATACATGAATCAGAGTCTGATTCTTGGGGGAGGAAAGAAGAGGCGTTTCCTTGCCCTCTGACCATCACTCCATTCCGACTTTCCGGGGAGAACGAAGTGAAGGGCTGGAGACACAACAGGAAGACAGGAGGTGGAGTGTGTCCTGGCCCCTCTCATCCAAGCGGATTGAGTAGGTTTAGGTGCGAACTGGGCAAGAACAGGGGGCGCTTCTCTCTGTCCTGCAGAGTTCTGAGTCCCCTGACTAGTTTTCTTGTTGACGTTGTCCATCTATCATTTCTAAGACACTGCTGGGTGCTTCCAGCCAAGGCTTTTGTGGGTGGGGGTAGCCGGCATCCTTTAAGTGGGCCTCGCTTTGGCCCTGAGTCTGTAGACTGACCTTCCCCTTCACCGGAGTGTGCTGAGGTCCCGGTGCAGGCCGTGGACTAAGGCAGAGTTTAAAGAGACACTGCATTGGCAGGCGGATCCTGTGTGTCCAAGGTTTGAGAGTGAGGACCTGCGTACAGCTTACCCTCTGCCTGGCCTCAGTCTAGTCTCAGCCTTGCCCAGGTACAAGCCACCTTTCTGGGACGTCAGTAGAAAGGAGCACTTTCCTCTGGATTTCACAGGCAATCCGGAGCTAGTATTTGCTTCTCTTAAACACTATTATGTAGGCACATCAGGAAGTAAGTGGGGGAGTTGAATTAAAAGATAAGTTTTTTGTAGTGTAAAAATATAGAATCCAGGTATAGTTTGTGGTGTATTTTCCACGAACCCTCTGAAGTACCCTGCAATGCGTGATAACAACTTTATATGGTATAGAAGAAAGTGATGAGTAAGGGTTAACATGAAAATTGTCCTGGAATGACTGACTTTGTATATAGCTTTTTTAAACATTTATTTATTTTTATTTACTTGAAACATAGTTATAGACTGAGGAGAGGAGACACGGAGTGAGAGAGATTTTCCATCTGTTGGTTCACTCCTCAAAAGGCTGCAACAGCTGGGGCTGGGCCAGGCTGAAGCCAGGAGCCCAGAGCTTCTTCCGTATCTCTTACCTGGGTTCAGGGACCCAAACACTTGGACTTCCTCAGGCACATTAGCAGAGAGCTGGATCAGGTAGAGTAGCTGCAACCCAACTGGCGCCATATGGGCTGCCAGCATCGAAGGCAGAGCCTTAATCTGCTACACCACAGTGCTGGCCCCTGTATGTAGCTTTTAAATCGAAGACTGCTTTCTTCCACTCAGATGTCATTGAAGAAGGAAAGATAAAGAAATCACGTGAAAAGCCAAACTTTATGTGGGGAGCCACTGGGAAAAAAGGAAAATTTTAGTGTTTGTTTATAAAGGTTAGATAGTTGAGGGGCCAGCGCGGTGGCGCAGCAGGTTAATCCTCTGCTTGTGGCGCCAGCATCCCATATGAGCACAGGTTCTAGTCCCAGCTGCCCTTCTTCTGGTCCAGCTCTCTGCTATGGCCTGGGAAAGCATTAGAAGATGGCCCAAGTGCTTGGGCCCCTGCACCTGCGTGGGAGACCGGGAGGAGACACCTGGCTCCTGGCTTTGGATCAGCACAGCTCCGGCTGTTGTAGCCATCTGGAGTGTGAGCCAACAGAAGGAAGACCTTTCTCTCTGTCTCTCCATCTCACTGTCTGTAACTCTACCTCTCAAATAAATAAATAAAATCTTTTTAAAAATTAGATAGTTGAAATTAATAAATAAGTGTGTTTTTAAGTAATCTTTACAATTTTAGAAACCTATTCTTGGTTTGCTGTAGAAATTGGCAAACTGTATCCAACAGTGAAATCTGTATGTCAACTATTTTTTAGAAATCTTTTATGTAAAGAATACAAATTTCATAGGAACAGCTTTAGGAATATAGCGGTTCTTCCCCCCACACCTGCCCTCCCACCCCCACTCCCATCCCACCTCCTACTCCCTCTCCCATCCCATTCTTCATTAAGATTCATTTTTAATTAACTTTATATACAGAAGATCAACTCTATACTAAGTAAAGATTACAACAGTTTGCACCCCCACACACCAGGTATCAAGTACAGATTGAGTGCAACTTTTACGGTTATTTCTCATAGTACAACTCATTAAGGACAGAGGTCCTACATGGGGAGTAAGTGCACAGTGACTCCTGTTGTTGATTTAAAATTAACACTCTTATTTTTCACATCAGTGACCACCCAAGGCTCTTGACATGAGCAGCCAAGGCTATGGAAGCCTTTTGAGTCCACACACTCTGTTGGTGTTTAGACAGGGCCTTATACAAAGTAGAAGTCCTCTCCTGCCTTCAGAGAAAAGTACATCCTTATTTGATGGTCTATATGACCAACTACACACTTAATATGATCACTGTAACATGTAAGATGGTGTTACTACCACCCAGCTTAATGGGATTTGGAGTCCCATGGCAAGATTTTGGCTTTGCCCTATTTTTGTAGATGCAATTTTGTTAGAACACAGTCATGCATATTTGTTTTCTTGTTATCAAAAATACCTTCTTCCTTACCTCTTAAGTATCTGTTCTCAAATGGGGGCTTGTGTGCAGGATTGGAGAAGCATTTGCTTGTCCTAACAGGGTGAGTGGAAGTTAGCTCTGCCTCCAGTGGGGAGATGGAGAAGATGCTCCCAACATCAGAGAAGCACAGGGCAGCCTCCCAACAAAGACTTCTCTGGCCCCAGAGGTCAAGAGCGTCAGCGTGAGCAGCTCTGCTGTGGTTAAGAGGACGGGGGCTGGGTGTTCCTTTTGGGAGGAGGCCCTTGCCTTGGGTGAGACAACACCTCACACACATGGAGCAAACACAACAGCAGGTGTGCTAGGCTAAAGCTAAGGTCCCTCAAGAAAGTCAGCTCAGCTGGATCTTCGCTGTGCAGCAGGAATCAAAGGTGTTCGTTAAGGGGGTGAGAGGTGGGTGCTGAGACAGAGTGGAAACATGGAGACAAGTACGTAGACTCTAGGGGGAAGTCTCAAGTGCCACTGTGGAGGCATTGCAGGGACCCATAAGAAGTGGATGAAGGCATCGTTCCACCACCTCCAGCAATGCTCTGTGACACAGAACGGGCTGGAAGCAGTGTAGCTGGGACAAGGTTCGATGTCGGGTGACTGTAAAACCCAGAGAGTACGAGTCTCTCCCAGGACGCTGTGGCAGAAAGTCAGGGCTTCGTGAGCAGCTGGGCACATGTGGGGCATGGAATTCAGGAGTGTGCTGAAGGGTCACGGACAGGCAGCACATCACGGGGTGGACGAGACGTCTCCCTCTCATCTCTCCTGTTCTGCCCACAGGGTGCGGATGTTAATGCAAAGGCCCAGTGGAAGGTCCTGCCCGCCCCCCTTGACCACATCAACCTTCACGTCCGGGGCGGCTACATCCTGCCCTGGCAGGAGCCTGCGCTGAACACCAACCAGAGGTGAGCGTGGACTGGGGTCCCCTCTCCACGGCAGTTAGTGCACCACTCTGTAATGAAGCCCAGCAGTGTGGAGGCATGGACGCTTACTGCTGATGGACGGAGTATTTCTATCTCCTGTGACACTATTGACACCAGAGAAAGATGTCAGTTTTGCCTTTTTGCCTAGGAAAAAGCAGAGCAATCTGATACTGGTGATGTTTCCCATTTGAAATTTCAAGGAAACAAAGGTTATTTGGAAAAGTTCTTTGAATACCCAGTCTGGGTCTCTTACATAGCTATCGTTTCCCACAGTCGGCAGAACGCTCTTGGTCTCATCATCGCCCTGGATGAGAACAAAGAAGCGAAAGGTGAACTCTTCTGGGATGACGGAGACACCAGAGGTGAGCATGTGATGATAAAGTCTGTTTCCAAGCCTGCGTCTTTGCCTTATGGGCCTTTGCTGCTGCAGGTCCTCAGCTGGGGGAGAAGTCACAGCAGGTGCATTAGCAAAAGTCATTCAAGAGAAAAACCTTGTTTTAGTTTGTACCATTCAGCAACAATGGTAGTGAACTGCAGATGGAAGGAAAACATGTTCACCTGCTAGAATTCTCTCCGTTGGCCAGCAACACACACATACACACACATACATACACACACATACACACATACATACACACACATACACACATACATACACACACATACACACATACACACACATACACACATGTACACACACATACACACACATACACACACATATACACGCATACACACATACATACACACATCCACACATACATACACACATACATACACACATCCACACACATACACACATATACACATACACACATACACACACATACACACATATACACACACATACACACACACAGGCTCTCACTTTACTGTCACTGGGCACCTGGGAGACATGGTTTTGAGCCTAAATCGCTAATTCAATATGTAGATATCTTTTCTCTAAAATACTTATGAATACATGATGATGTGAAAAACATATCCATGCCAGAGAGGCGGTGAGACATTCTATTTTAGAGTGTGTATTTCCAGCCATACTTTTAAGCTGATTTTTATAGTTCCAGTATTTTAACAATTCCCAGGGATCTAGCTTAGAAAATTGCTGAGGTCCTTGCCATGGAAGCATTTGGAGGGGAGTTTTTTCCAGGTCTTGGGACTCTGTCCATAATCTTATCGTTTTCAAGACGCTGCTTAAAAAAACCTTTCACTTAATTCCTTAAATGACAAATGTTTAATTAGCAAATGAAATGGAATTATTCAAGGTGCATAACATGATGGTCTGATGCACAATTGTCACTATCAAATTAACAGTAAATCTGTCACCATTACTGTGCACCAGATGCCCAGAGTTGGCTCATCTGGTGATTGAAAGTCTGCAGCTGAGCTTTGACCACCACCTCCCCATCTCTCCACCACCGTTCCTCCTTGTGCACGGATGAGCTTGATTATTCCAGATATAAATGAGATAGTGTCACATTTGTCTTTTCGTGTCTGGTTTATTTTACCTAATACAGTGTGCAGGTTCATCCGTCTTGTCACACAGAATTTCCTTCTTTGTATGACTGAACAATACTCCATTTCCTGTATGTACCACAATTTCTTTATCCATTGATTAGTTAACAGACACATTGTATCTGTATCTTGGCCATTGTGAATAAGAAATTAGAAATTTTAGTCTAAGCTATAAAATTCCCAGAAGAAAATCAAGGAGAATTTTCCATGTCATTGGTGTTGGTAATGATGTTTTGGATATGACTCCAAAAGCACAGGCAATAAAAACAAAACAAAAATAAATCTGTGGGATCGATTGCAGCAAGGTAAAAAGCTTCTGTGCAGCTAAAAAAAATCAACAGTGTGAGAAGCCAACTTACACGTGGGAAAAATTGTAAGCCACACACTTGAATCTGGGAGTGTACTACTTTCAGTAATGCATAAGGAACACAGTAGTAAAAAGCCCCAAATAACCCAATTTAAGATGAGAAAAGCATTGAAATAAATGTTTCCAAAGAAGACAGCCAAATGCCTGAGAGTACCTGAAAATGTGATCAGTTATGAATCAGCAGAGAAATGAACATCAAAAATCGCAGTGAGATATAACTCACACCTACTAGGATGGCTTATGATGAAAAAGGAGCTTATAGATGCTGGTGAGGGTATTGAAAAAGGAAACGCTGTTCCTGGTACAGCTGTTGTGCAGATCAGAACGGAGGTCCCTCCAGAACTTAAACATAGGTCAGCCCTCACTCCAGCATCCTGCTTCTGGGTGAGCACCCAGCGCAAGTGAGATCAGTATCCTGAGGAGGCAGCTGCAGCCCAGTGTTCATCGTAGTATTGTTCCTAGTAGCCGAGCTATGAAAGTAACAAGAAACAGGTGGTGCCATTTGTGACCGATGCAGCTTGAAGGGGAGGCGGGGGAAAGCCCTGTCTGTGGTGGGCAGGCCAGACTGATTTGTCTCTCTCTCACTTTCAGATACTGTGGCAAACAATGTTTATCTTTTATGTGAATTTTCCGTCACCCAAGTGAGTAATCAGTTTTTATGAATCCTAGGTATAGACTTTTGTCTGACCATCAGCACACATGTGCTTGTGTGTGTGTGTACCAATATTTCAACTTCATATGAACTGATGACCACAGCTGAGCACATTCCCATTTTAATTTAGCTCCTTGGCTTTTTTTTATATTGTCAAAAGGGGGCAATGATGTACATAAAGATAAATCAAAACAGCTAGCATTTATAATGACAGATTTTTAAAATGTGTGTGGTTTTTTTAATTTTTTTTATTCAAGGGATTATTACAATAAACGCTACTCCAAGAGCACACACAGTAGAGCTAAGTGAAGCTCAAAGTTTTAGGACAAAATACTGGAATGACTTGAATCTGTGCGACAGACATGGCTTTTTGCTGAATTTTCCTTGTTTTGCAGAACCACCTGGATGTGAAGGTTTCACAGTCAGGCTACAAGGACCCCAACAGTTTATCATTTAAGGAGATTAAAATCTTTGGGACGCAGGAACCTAGCAATGTTACAGTGAAGCACAATGGTGTCCTAATTCAGACGTCTCCTAAAGTCACTTACGATTATAACCTGAAGGTAAAAGTCCATTTTGTTGATACGTTTATTGAGAATTCTTTGTAGTATCAAGGCACTCGTGCTTACCAAAGTCGCATGAGTTCCTAAAGGGCCAGAGCACATTCTAAGGCATGTGTAGGGAGACCAGAGGGCTGGGTTGGGGAACAGAGATGACAAGGTGGCCAGAGCACCGGGTCCGGCATAATGATGAGATTCGACGTTTGGTCCTGAAAGTACGTATCAAGGATGCATTTGTTATGATGTGAGAAATCCATTAGCATGCAGCTGATCATGTACATGGCAAGGTGCAAGTCTTCAGAAGAATGCAAGTGAGCTAAGTAGATGTCTGTCAAAAAATCAATTGACCTAAAACCAAAGGAACACTTTTGTTGTTGAATTTGGTGGTAGGGAGACAGTTTATACTCAGCAATCTATTCTGAAGGAGGCAGCAAAACCAAACCAACATATAGGATATGGTAACTTTTGTTAATTGGCTATTCAAAGTTTAAGTGCTGACCAAAATTTCAAGGCTCAGCTGGCCCTTCAACGATGGTATCTCTTGTTGGGATCTGTTAGTTACAGTTGACAGGAAACCCCAAGTGATAATTTAAATGATTGGGATTTTTTTTCCTTTCTGCAATAAGAAATTGAGAAAGTAAAGAGTTGCTGACGTTGGTTCAATGACTGGAGATTTTTCAGGATTCAGGTGTCTTTGTTCTTGGGGTTAGAAATAGCTGCTTAGTTTCAGGCATCATGCCCCTGTCTGTGTGTGTGTGGTGTGCGTGTGTGTGTGTGTGAGAGAGAGAGAGAGAGAGAGGGAGAGAGAGAGGGAGAGAGAAAGAGAGAGAGAGAAGGAGGGAGGGAGGGAAGGAGGGAGAAAGTCAGACCATTAAATCAAGAAGACATTTGGCTAGTAGTGATGTTCAGTAGATTTGAACTTACCTCTTAAAGGTCGCAGCTGCCTTTTCTGTATTAAAAACTGAGCTTTTCTTGGAACTTGGGTATTCTAAACTGAAATAATGAGTAAGTGTCACTATGTTCCTAAATCTGTATATATGAAATGCATGAAATCTGTATACCTTAAGTAAAATTTAAAGAAATAAAAATAAAAAAGAGATGTTATATGTAGGGCATGCAGCTAGTAGTGTCTTCAAAAACTGGCAAATATTTATAGAAAAGCCATTTGCCTGGGTTAAGCTTTCCAAGATTATTTATCAGAATAACTAAATCCAAGGATGGAGAAATGACTTGCATTATCAATCTGTGAATTTTGTGTAACCAACATTGCTAGTATTCACTTTTTAAACATTTAAAATTAATATAAAGAGAACAGATTTTGTACATTCCACAGGTACAGTTTCAAGAAGACAACCCAACTTCTCTTGCTCCCCTGTTCTCTCCAAATCCCCCTCCCTCTCTCCCATCTCTTCATCAGCTTTTTCAAAGACATAATTTTAATCCACAGGCTTAATTTTCCACTAATCATAATACTCAATAAGTAAAAAGTAGGAAGACCACAGTTGCACAGAAATATAGACTAGGTCTTAAAAGACAATCATATCCCAAAGTGACCTATACATTTTTTTGTATTCTGTGACCTATACTTTTTTGTATTCTGTATTAACTGCTGCGTATCAGAGAAAACATGTGCTATTTGTCACTTTGGGACTGCCTTATTTCGCTAAGCATAATGAAAGGACCTTATTTTGAACAGGAAACGTAATTAGATTTGGAGAATCCTAAGTGACAAAATTAGCTCCAACTTGATTCTTCTCAAAAGGGTGTCGTATCAGTTCTGGCATCGAGGCTCTGTCATTGTGTCCACATTGTCTGCAGGGTGGAGGGGTGGATTATAGGAAAGAGAGGCAAGAAGATTGAGAAGAGAGGCTGGGATATTAAAAATGGAATGGAATGGAATGATTCTGCCAATTCATCATTTAATGCTGATAAAACTAAGATTTTAGGAACAGGAATATTTTGTCAAAGAAACATGGAGCTGAGAACCCAGGCCAAGTGGTTTTAATTGCTGTGTTCTTTCCACCACTCTGACTGATGGGGAGCCATGGTTTAGGGAGAAGGGAATTAGACCCTCAGCATTCGTGGGACATGCAGGAGTGGGCCTTTCTGGAAAAATAAAGAGGAGGAAGAGGAAGGGAAGGAAAGAAAGGTGATATTCATGTCACAACGGGATGAACAAGATTCTGAAGAGTTGGGAAATATGTGCCCCTGAATCTCCCTCTACCAAGCCTACAGCACCACATCAGCTACAGTCGTGTGTTCCTGGGTCTGATTCACGTTTTATTTTTTTTATAAATGCTTGTTATTTGAATAAATGTCCTGTGCCTTTCCATTCCCACAGGTGGCTGTTATCACAGAAATTGACCTTGTCCTGGGAGAAGCGTACACGGTGGAGTGGACCTTGACGACGAGGGATGAGGAAAAGATCGACTGCTATCCTGATGAGCAGGGAGTTTCTGCAGACAACTGCATTGCCCGTGGCTGTGTCTGGGAGGTAACTGGTGGTGTTAGCATGCCTTAAAACCTCTGCGGCCGGCGCCGCGGCTCACTAGGCTAATCCTCCACCTGCGGCACCGGCACACCGGGTTCTAGTCCCGGTCGGGGCGCCAGATTCTGTCCCGGTTGCCCCTTTCCAGGCCAGCTCTCTGCTGTGGCCTGGGAGTGCAGTGGAGGATGGCCCAAGTCCTTGGGCCCTGCACCCCATGGGAGACCAGGAGAAGCACCTGGCTCCTGCCTTCTGATCAGCGCAGTGCGCTGGCCGTGGCAGCCATTGGAGGGTGAACCAACGTCAAAGGAAGACCTTTCTCTCTGTCTCTCTCTCTCACTGCCCACTCTGCCTGTCAAAAAAAAAAAAAAAAATCTCTCCGCTTATTCTGCACCTTCTCCGTGTAACTACTGAAAACACATAGAAGGTTCTCCCAAGGGAACCTAGTATGGATTTAAAGAGTAAGTGGCAATAGGAATGGTACCTATTGTATAAATATTTTGCTTGGAGGACAGGAATTTAAATGTGTATCATTACCAAATGATGTACAGGTGATGGACTGGCTTTCTCTCCCCATACATTGCGTGTCCCCACTGTTTCTCTTGGATAGTTCTAAGACCACACGCTGATCCAACACTGGCCTTTTCTTTCAGGAATCCGCTTCTCCTGGGGTCCCTTTCTGCTACTTCGTCAATGATCTATACTCGGTCAGCAATGTTCAGTATCACTCAGATGGAGCCACTGCCGACATCTCCCTAAAGTCCTCTGTTGAATCCAACGCCTTCCCTTCCACACCCGTGAACCCCCTGCGCCTGCAAGTGACCTACCACAAGAATGAAATGCTGCAGTTTAAGGTAAGCCCAGCGTCTGCATCAGACATGGGAAAGCCCTTTTCAGTTCTATTATTCTGTGCTATTTCAGGTTACAGGATCCTATGAAAGATTACTCTTCTGAGTTAACAGGTGATAACAGAGTAGATCCTCATGCTCATACTAAGAGCAATGAAGGAATAGCAAGACCTGTCCTAATTTGCATTTCAAAAAATTGCTGTGGCTACTCTAATGAAAACAGCTGGTGAACAAAATGTGGAGAGACAAGTTAGAGGCTCATTTGATCATGTGGGGAATGAAGGTTGGACTAAGTACAGGAAAGGAGGTGGAGAATACTGAACATGTTTGAGATCGAGAAGGTGGGATTACAGGATCGGGTGGTGGGTTTGCTGATAGGGATATTGAAGAGGGGAGGATGAAGAACAGTCGCTATGTCTCTAATCTGCAACTGCAGTGGATAATTGTCATATTAACTGAAATGGGGTTATTGAAAAGGTTTGTGCTTGGTCTGTATGTATAATGAGTATTGATTGGATGCTGAATTTGAGGTCTCTGTGAAATAACCATTAAAGGAAAGTGACTTTGTTTTTCCCCATGGTTTTTTACACATAATGGTCAATGAGGGGCTATCTGTTCTTATGCTTATTTCTCTATTAGAGTGTAAGCTTTACACTAATGCTTCTGAACCCTAACGCAGAGTCTAGAAGATATACGCATTCTCATATTTGCTGATGGAGTAAATGACCAAGGTGAACCCAGTGGCACTGCGTGAGAGGGTCTTCACACTCACATCTGCTGATGCATGGATAATGTGTTTTTAACTGTGTGTCTTCACCTTGGCACCGGCATGTTGGTGGCATATAATAGGTTGGAAATGGATGAACTTGCCTTATAGCGTAACCCTAGTTCTTACCTACTCTATCTGCTGACCCTGCACTAGGTCTCTCCAAAACATTCACATCTTTCTGAGCCTACTTTAGACTCTGTGCCTTTGTATTTGTTATTTCTTTACCAGAAATACTTGGCTTATTTCTGTGCTTGGCCAATGACTACATAGTTTTTAAGACACATCCTGTATTCTTCCCAGTAAACTATGCCCTTCTCTCGGAAACAGGGTTAGTCACTTCTTCCCTGCCTGTATTCTCCAAGCACTGTTGCCCAGTTCTGCACTTGCACACGTCATCTGGGTGTTGTGCATCTTTCCCATGCACTTCTCATTAGCAGGTGTTTTTTTTTAAAGCAATAACCATGAATTTTTCAGTTCATACCCCCAGTGTCCAATACGTTACCAAGCAGGAATATAGTAGATACTTAATGAATCAAATTTGTATGCCAGTTTCTGCAGACAGCAATAATTATTTTAATCAAAAAGTTTATGTCCTTTGGGGAGAATTTTTTTTAATTCTGAGAAGTTTTCAAATATTTGCATGCACTAATATTCCCACAGAGAAGTAGCAAATAGTATGTTCATAAATATCACACTGATATCAGAATTATTTCCCAAATTACCATGAATGTCCAAGAGAATGTGTTATTGGAATAAAGGTCTCAAAAATGATATATGACAGACTTAGCCCAAAATGGTGAATCTGACATTGTTCTGTGAATGGCAATGGAATCTCAGCCATCATGAGCTTAAAGACAAATAATTATAGCACACAGACTATTTGCCAAATACAAGAAGCTTCTACTAAGGGAGCAGACTTAAATAGAACTATTCTTGCAATTTCATAGCTTTATGGGACATATATATTTACAGACTGTGTATGGATCAAGTCAGGATACTTGAGTCATCCTTATTCTCAGATATTTTACACATAAGGGTCAATGAGGGGCTATCTGTTCTTATGCTTATTTCTCTATTAGAGTGTAAGCTTTACACTAATGCTTCTGAACCCTAACTCAGAGTCTAGAAGATATACACATTCTCATATTTGCTGATGGAGTAAATGACCAAGGTGAACCCAGTGGCACTGTATGAGAGGGTCTTCACACTCACATCTGCTGATGCATGGATAATGTGTTTTTAACTGTGTGTCTTCACCATGGCCCCGGCATGTTGGTGGCATATAATAGGTTGGAAATGGATGAACTTGCCTTATAGCGTAACCCTAGTTCTTACCTACTCTATCTGCTGACCATTTCTTTGTGAGAAAACATTCAGATTTCTGTCTTCGATCTCTTTTGAATTACACAATACAATATTGTTAACTATAATCACCCTCTGTGTGATGGCACACCAAACTTTATTCCCCGACCTGCACCCTTGTCTAACACCTGTTCCCTCTGGCCTAGATCTATGACCCAAACAACAGCCGGTATGAGGTCCCAGTCCCTCTGAACTTACCCGGAGTTCCAGCCAGCAGCCCTGAGAGTCGGCTCTACGAGGTCTCCATTGGGGAGAACCCATTCGGGGTGGTGATTCGCCGCAAGAGCACAGGCGCTGTCATGTAAGTGCTGTCCTTGGAAAGCCAGCTGCCCCAGGCCCCGAGGGAGGTCCGTGTCTGCTCCCAACCCCTGTCTGTGTTGCAGCTGGGACTCTCAGCTGCTCGGCTTCCTGTTCAATGACCTGTTCATCCGCATCTCCACCCGCCTGCCCTCCGCGTACCTGTACGGCTTTGGGGAGACGGAGCACACGGCCTTCAGGAGAGACCTGAACTGGCACACGTGGGGCATGTTCTCCCGAGACCAGCCCCCGGGGGTAAGGACGGAGCGCTGGGTTCTGTGTCTGCCCCTCTGCCAGCGCTGGGTGTGCATGCGCTGTGCTGTGCCCTGCCAGACTCCACGTGCTGGGTCCCCCCTTCTGCTTCTCCACCAGGGGTGTAGTTCCCAGGCTCTCTGGTCACCTGTGTTTAATCAGTCACAAGGAAGACTGGGCCCATGGGAATTTGCTGAGTTTCTTTCTCAACTACAACGTCTCTTAACTCGTGCCGCCTCTCTGTCCTGGTTGTTAGTACAAGATGAATTCCTATGGGGTGCACCCCTACTACATGGGCCTGGAGGAGGATGGCAGTGCCCACGGAGTGCTCCTGTTGAACAGCAACGCCATGGGTAAGCCTGTGCCATGGCTCCCTCATCTCTGTGCACCGTTAATTCTATATAGCTTTAGAATGTGTTTGACCTCACAGCCCTCTGAGCTCAAAACTGTTATGGGCAGTGATGTATTTTCTTTTTCTGTAAACTTTCTGTTGATTTTAATCCAGTATCATGTGGTGGTACTGCTTCATCCAGCTCCTATTTCAGTAATAATCATGTAAGAAGCGATGGCAATCTTGAGTCCCCAGTACGTTGGAGGTCAGCTGGGGAAAGTCGGTTATATAATTTGAATTAGCAGAGCCCTCATTTTGAGGGTACGAAGGTGTGAAAAGACTTATGGCATATAGGAAGGAACATGGTGAAAGCAACTTTGGTCAGTACCTGTCCCTGAGTTCATAATGTTGTGTCACTGTCAGTTACCTGTGTAAGACAATGTACAATTGTAATATAAGATGTTATCATTGGAGGGAGCTGAGTGAAGAGTACACAGGACTCTACAACTTTCACAACATGTCTTAAGACATAATGTATTCTTAAATTAAAGTGGCAATAATACTTTTAAAAGATTAGAATGATAGAACTTTTGATAAGATAAAAAAATCGCAGGAAAGTGGGGGAGTTCCAGTGAGGGGACCCTGTGAACTTTCATGTAACTGAATCGGTTCTACGTGGGTGCAGCACTTAGCTCTCTCTAACAGGAAGGGTGCAGTCAGAGGTGGAGGGTGGGATTCCAGGGATGGCTCCTCACTGTGACGTTTTCCTCATGGTCGGCATTTTCCTGTACCACAGATGTGACTTTCCAGCCCACGCCTGCCCTGACTTACCGGACCACAGGGGGAGTTCTGGACTTCTATGTGTTCTTGGGGCCCACTCCAGAGCTTGTCACTCAGCAGTACACCGAGGTAGGAGGGAGTCAGCTGGCTGCCAAGTGTTTATACAGCACATTCTGTGTGCCAAATCCTCATTCAGAAGTGTAAACCTCGTATGAGTAGATGGGATGCTTTGTCTTTCTCAGGGTCTGGAGACTACAGAATACAGAGAAATGAAAAATAAATTACTATCAACCATACATTCATAGCCTTTCTAAGCATTGCCAAGGGGCAGAAATAGTAGTGGTCTAATGGTGATGGTGGTGATGGCAGTGATGGTGGTTGGAGAGGTGCTGGGGTGTTGACTGTTGGGGTGATGATGGTGGTGGTGGTGGTAGTGGAGAGGATGAAGATGGTGCTGGCTGGTGGGTGATGGGAGTGATGATGTGGTGGTGAAAGGATAATGTTGGTGGGGGTGGCAGTGTTGGTAGTGACTGTTGTGATGGCAAAAATGCACACTTATATATAATACTTCTCATGTACTTGTTACTTACCTGTTACTGAAAGTCAAAGCCCTTTACACCAAGGGTGTTTAAAACTGACCATCAAAAATGAAATCAAAATGTAAATTTATTTAGTGCAGAAAAATTGAAATTATGAATACTTCTTAATAATTGTCATTTCCTAAGAAGTTTTAGAAAACCACTAATAAGGATTTCAAAATGTTTTTGAAGTCATCTTTTTTTTAAAAAAATATTTGAAAGGCAGAATTAGAGAGAGAGGGAGAGGGAGGATGGGGAGGAGGGAGGGAAAGAGGGGAAGAGAGAGAGAGAGATCTTCCATCTGCTGGTTCACTCCCCAAATGGCTGCAACAGCTGGGGCTGGGCAAGGCAAAGCCAGGAGAAAGGAGCTTCCTCTGGTCTCCCACCAAAAAAAAAAAAAAACAAAACAAAACAAAAAACAGAAAAATAAACACAGATTTAATTATGGAATTGTATGCTATGTGTAGATGCAAGTGTGTTCCAGTTCTTGGGTGCAGGGGCCCAAGAACTTGGGTCATCTTCCGCTGTTTTCCCAGGTGCATTACTAGGGATCTGGGTTGGAAGTGGAGCAGCTGGGACTTGAACCGATGCACATATGGAGTATTGCTGTTGTAGGCAGTGGCTGAATCTGTTGCACAGAGCGCTGGTCCCTTTACTTATTTTTTAATTCCGTTTTCCGTTTACTTTTTGAAGTAGCAGCATATTAACTCACTCAGTCCTCACAAAACCATTATGAGACCACGATAAGCCACACCTTGCAGGTAATAAATTGGTGTCCAAAGAGATGAGTTAACTTTCACTCAAGGTTACAGAGGTAGCTAGGCCTGTGACTGTATGCTAAGGCAGGCATTTTGCTTCTAGTCTGAGTCATGAGCTAGACCAGTCTCTAGAAATCAGAGCAAAATCAACTTTTCTATAATTTCTAGAAGAGCCCAAGCCCGTCAGGTATGTCCTGCCAAGGTATACCGTTGACTCTGCATTCCTCGCTTTCTCTCTGGAATTGAGTGTGTTGATTGTGTAGCTTGGAGCACTGCAGAAATACTTCATACAGAACTTTAATCCAGCTTCCGTTTCTTGAGGACTAATCCTTGGTGTCTACTTCCCAGGTGATTGGCCGTCCTGTGATGGTGCCTTACTGGTCCCTGGGCTTCCAGCTGTGTCGCTATGGCTATGAGAATGACACGGAGATTGCCAACCTGTATGATGACATGGTGGCGGCCCAGATCCCCTATGTAAGTTCTCAGTGCTGGGGCCTGGTGCTGGACCTCACACTCACCCAGGGGTCTCTGTATCCGGACTCCTTTCTGAGATTGTTATGATATTCTAAGATACTAAGTGCTTTCTCATCCAGTGCTACACTATGCCCCACCCCAACACGGTGATACACATGGAGGCTCCTGTCTCCTTGTACAGATGGAGCTCAAAGACTTAGTGATTTGCGAAAGGAGGAAGGCGTACAGTTGGCTCCAGCACTCTTTCTGCCACATCGCTGTTCTCTCCATTTCTTCTATACAACTTCAGACCATCCAGTCAAAAACCTTGTGATCCCATATGAATGAAAGTTTCCCTACCAGGGACAGGGAACCCTTTTCTGCCAAGAGTCATCTGTGTATTTATAACATCATTCACAAACCATACAGAATTATTGACTTATAAATTAGCCTATTGTAGATTTATTGTATGTCAGGTCTCAGCTATGGTTTACTTGGCAGGGCCGGGCCAAATGATTTCACGGGCCCTGTGTGGCCTGCAGGCCAGATGTAGCCCCCTCCCCTGCCAAAACAGTGCTTTTATTTCATCGAAAAATTAACACAAATTTAGTTGCAGAATTGCATGCATATGTGTAGATAAAAGTATGTTCTAAGTTCCAACTCTGCCCTTTTGCTGTTGACCACTCCTCCATCAGCTCTGAGCTAATCACTGGTTGAAGGTAGGGATCATGGGCCTAGTTATCAGAGGAAATGCTTGTGGAAACAAACTCTCCCCATTACTGGAGAACAAGAGGGGTCCAATGGTCAGAGAATGGATCGCAGTGAACAAAGCTGGGATGTGAAGGCATAAAAGACGCTGTCTATAACTCAGGCGTCGTGGCAGAGGGCTGCTAGTGGAGCCTGGGCTTGGACCGCAGCAGCATCGGTGGCCCTGTGTCTCTCCCCAGGACGTGCAGTACTCAGACATCGACTACATGGAGCGGCAGCTGGACTTCACCCTCAGCCCCAAGTTTGCTGGGCTCCCAGCTCTGATCCAGCGCCTGCGTGGTGATGGGATGCGGGTCATCCTCATCCTGGTTGGTGCTCACGTGATGTCATGTGGGGAGGCTGATGGGCTGTGGGGGAGAAGGCCCTGTGCTGTCCTTCCTTCCATGGAGTGAGTGGGAAATGGAAGCCCCACTAGGAAATGCATTTCCCTGGAGTCCAGAAACTACCACCCAGGGGACCCTAAGGCCTTCTCTCTGCAGGAGTTCTCCTTTTTCATGTCCTTGTCATTGCCAGCTTTGGTTTTCGCAGCTGACTTGTGGTTTGATTTCAGGACCCAGCGATCTCTGGCAATGAGACGCAGCCTTACCCTGCCTTCACTCGGGGTGTGGAGGACGACGTCTTCATCAAATACCCAAATGGCGGCGGCATTGTCTGGGGAAAGGTATGAGCTGGGCAGTGATCTGCTAGTGCCCAGTCTGGGGTGGGTCATGCTATGTCTGAGCCTGGGGTGGGTCATGCTATGTCTGAACCTGGGGTGGGTCATGCTATGTCTGTTTGTGCCTGTGGTTTTTGGCTTTTTACATCTTGGCTTAGAAGTCAAAAGTTATCACTTTTGCAAACAATATTTGTTGATACAGACGAGGACTTTTCAAGTAAGGTACATACATCATGGAATCTTTTTTTTCTGGAATCATCCTACATGATAATCAAAGTATTACTTTTCCTAGGGTCATGGCTTAATGTTTCTTAGGAAATAGTATGTAAGGAAATTAAACATTTTCCTCTCTACAGGTCTGGCCTGATTACCCTGATGTTGTTGTGAACAACTCTCTGGATTGGGACAGTCAAGTGGAGGTAGGAGATCCCTTGTTGATACTAGTGAAGGCAAGCTTGTGCTTAGGTGTTATTATTCATGTGAATTCAGATTAGGAGAGCTTAAAACCCTGTCTAAGGTTGTTGTTGACAGATCTGTGATTTCAAATCAAGGTTTGTCAAGTTCCAAAGACCCATGTAATTCCCCCTGGATGATACCTCCAAGAATTGCCATCCTGTCTCTGAATTAGCACCCTGTTGTTACGGGTGCCTTTGAAACAGCCTCCAACTCCTGTCTTTAGGGATTTGTCCTTTTGCCTCTACAGCTTTTTTCATTGAGAGGCTTCTCTGTCTTTCCTCTTGGATTCTCCCTCCTCATGCTCTACTTCTCTGGTCTCTCCACTTTGCTTTCACTTCTGTTTCCAGTTATATGTTAAAATTTGCTCTCTTCTGGGACTAAGTTCTTTCTTGTGATGGACCCAGGTGGCCCATATCTCTAGATCACGATTTTTTCTCAGCTTCACTTAGCATTTGTTAGGTGATGGAATACACAATTTCTTACTTGTCTGGGAAGGCTGTAGCTACATTCTTTGGCCAAGATGTGTGCACAATGGCTGGTGTTCCCTGTTTGTTATCCTTTTTCTACTAATAGTAGTGAGTTGGGTTCTCAGAGTGTGGGTGCACAACCTTCTTGAGAGCAAGGATCCTTCCTTTTGTTATTTAGCTCTTCTCCACAAGGAGTGTTCTCTCTGGACAGGAATTGTAGCAGTGTGCATAGCTGATGTGACCTCCATAGAACAGCTGCAGTGTAATGAAAGGGCTCATTTCCCAGGGTGCTTTGAAGGACCTGGACTCTGTGGTCAGCAATGTAGCCTACGTTGCAGTGTCTAGGAACTTGTCAGGATCAAGGAGAACTCAGATACATCTTAGTATGGTGGGAGCACAGCACAGCAGCTCTGAATTTAGATTTCAGCCACCCAGAAACTCAGGGACAATGACCCTGCTAGAGCGCACATTCTATATAATGTGGAATTCTAGTAGGTAGGCAGAAATGGGTCTAGAAGGAGGTAGTCAACGATATTCGTGTCTTATTCAGACGAGTTAGTTACCAGGGCAAGTGGTAATTTGTAGAAGAGAAGACAGATATTAAACAGAAGTAGCGTAGTCTGGAAACCAAGGGCTCAGTGCAGCTCCAGTACAGAGTGAGAGGACAGTGCTATGAGCCAGTGATGCAGGTAACGTGGTGTTAACCTCTGAACCCCTGCATCCCAGAGTTGGCAGCAGTTGCACTGCAGATGCAAAATGACAAAATTGCGTTTGGGACAAGGCTGCTTGACTGTGTATCTGTTTTATGGCCTTAGGGGCCGTGGGAATAATACGCATCAGCTGGGGCAGACTTCCATGTTGGATATGGATGAGTCACCAAGGTTGTTTTCCTCTTGTCCATTACTGAACAAGGATCTGTCTCTCCACCTACTCCTCTCTCTCTCCTCTTTCTATCTATGTATCTGTCATCTTTCTAGGAAGTATGTAATGTAAAGGATGTAGCTTTAAGTTCTGCCCATCACTTCTCATGGAAGATTGCTTGATGTTCAGTGGTTCAGACAGCTGCACATGTCGGGGCCGTGTGCTCCCTGACTTTTCCACGTTTGCATTGGTAGAGAGGCCATTTCAGCAATTAAGAGGCTGGCTACTACTGTGAACACTGCAGGTCACGAGCCGCTGGGGCAGTACTGCCAATCTGAGGGCATTTGGAGACTTGCAGTGTGGGTTATCTCAGCGACTGGGGAACACCCATGGCTGTTCTTGGGGGATGGCCAGGGAGGCCCACAGCTCTTACATTGCAGTGAATTCTCCAGAAATAAGTCCCCAGGCCTAAATGTCAATTGTGTCCTCATTATGGGATCATAGATTCCATTAGGAAGCTCATAAGAATTTATCAGTCACTAAAATAACATTATCAGTAATCCCCCTTTGATGAGGTTGGTGAGGATGAGGATACTGAAGTCCAGGCCTGGCTTTAGTGAGAGCAGCATAAAACAAAACAAAACAACAAACCCTAGATAGCCATCAAGCCTGTGGAAAAGCCATTTCTGCACCCAAAGCTTGGAAACTTAATTCAGTACGTCTGGGGTGAGCTCCAGGATTTTCACAGGTGGTACACAGTGGGTTGTGATTAGCAATCCTGGGCCACACCCACAGGAGTCTGGAGATCATGGCTAGTGAGGGAAGAAATGATAGGAAGGAGTTGAATATAGGCTGGAGGGAAGCAAAGCCAGTCCTTTTGGGAATGGTAGAATGTTCTTGGTTGCATGACTAAGGAGATTCAGATTTTATGGGGTTAATAAATCATGGCTGGTCTACGTTCCCACATGACCACCACATGGGATACAGTTCTGACTCAACCATGACTGATGCTGACTTTGTTCTAATTCTCCATCCTCCACTTCCCTGCTGTTCTAGTCCTGGCTGAGCCAGAGCTGTCTGTGTCTGGTGAGAAGTTCTCTGGGTGTTGTCCAGTGATCTCTACCTCCACCTTCCACAAGTGCATCCCTGCTGTGCCCCCTAGGAATCCCAGTGTGCGTGCATACCCCTGTTCCTCCATGAGGCAGTTTTGTGTCTACCAATCCTTTTCTGTCCTTTTCCTTGTGTTCCTTTTTTGTGTCATTTATCTGGACACATGAGTTCCCCTTTGCATTCTGTCTGTTGTATATAGGAAATGCAGTTATCCTGCATGATTTTACTCTTTAGCCCTTAAACTGCAATGAGTAACGTAGAGGAGGCTGTCTTCTGAGAAATGCAAAGGAGCATAGCCTTCTCTGCAGTGATGTGACGCACAGAGGAACGTGGGGATGTTTGCTGCTGATAAGTGTGGAGCATTCACAGTTAAACCCCGAATGTTTATTTTATGAGAATTCTGAGCTAAAAAGTTTGGGGGGATATAATGCTGAATCATAAGATATAAGACAAGGCTCTTGCTCTCACAAAGTTTACAATATATTAAGTAGTTAGATTACTTTTAAATTTACTTTGTAGTTGAATCCTAATAGTTATAATACAGACTTACAGGGTTGAGTGCAACAATGTGTTACTGGTATACCTCTGTCATGAAGGATCAGGGTTATTAGCATTTATCTCCTCAAACATTTCTCGCTTCTTTGTGCTGGCAATTTTGGAAAGTGAGTTTTTTTTTTGATCCAATTTTCAGGCTAAAATAAAGAGATTGGTTTTATTATAGAAGGAAGACAAACAGAAAGGGGGTGGGTTACGCTTCCGCTTAAAGTCCGCCCAGTTGGATTCCACCCACAAGCAGTTCTCCTGTGACTCCGACACCTGAGCAAACACAGGTGCATCCTCAAGGGTCACGTGGTTGAGTGTGTGATGTCTGCCCTGTGGGGCTGCAGGTGCAGTGGCTCTCGCTTTGCCTTCAGTGAGTTCCCAGACAATGGGAGGACAGAAGTTGAGGGTGTAGACTGGTGGGAAGAGGACAGAGTCTATGGATGCTTTCTCATGCGCAGGGGGAGTCGCAGTTTGCACCACTTCCCCTGCCTTATACTCACTGTTTTCCTGATGAATAGAGAACATTATTTTAGGCTCGGATCAGAGTATCTTTCTGTGGTTCAAGACTTTGCATGAGTTCTCGGCGAGTGCCTATCTGTTATTCAAATAGGATAAGTGACTATATTTAATGTTTACAGCAATACAGAGCTTATGTGGCCTTCCCAGACTTTTTCCGTAATTCAACTGCCAGCTGGTGGAAAAGGGAAATTGAAGAAATGTACAGCAATCCACAGAGTCCGGAGAAGAGTTTGAAGTTTGACGGCATATGGATTGTAAGAGAGTGTGTGTGTGTATTCCCGTGCATCAGTGTGTGTCTGTCTCTTTGTGCCTTAACATATGTATCCCTGAACTATAAACAAAATGATAATAATATTCCAAGAAAAATTTATACATACTAGACAGCACTTCCTCCACCCAGGAATTGCACAGTCCTGAAATCCTTTGTACCTTGTACCTTGCCTGAGGTTCTGGCTGTAAAACCTCAGAAGCAATTACAATAAATTTCCTGGAACTTTCATTTCCTCCTCACACCCTCATGGAGGTTTTTTTTTGTTTGTTTGTTTGTTTTTTAAATATCACCATGGCAGTCATTCTTGTTCTTTCTAGCCGCTTCCTACTGGAATTTGATTATCCTCCTTGGCTTGGCATCTACAGGAATTTATTTATCCATTTATTTCAAAGGCAGTGTTCGAGAGGCAGAGGGAGGGAGAGAGAGAGAGAGAGAGAGAGAGAGAGAGGTCTTTCATGTACTGGTTTGATCCTCAAATGGCTGCAAAGGCTAGAGTTGGGGTGATCCAAAACCAAGAGCCTGGAGCTTCTTCCAGGTCTCCCACACACATGGGTGCAGGGGCCAAGACCTTGGGTCATCTTTACTGCTTTCCCAGGCCATAACACAGAGCTGGATTGGAAGTGGAGCAGCCAGGACATGAACTGGCGCCCATATGGGATGCCGGCACTGCAGGTGGCAGCTTTACCCACTACGCCACAGCGCCAGCCTCAGTCACTGGATGTTGAGTGCATATTCACTACTGACTTGTCTCTGAACTGACAGGGTATAGCCATCTTAGAAGTAAGCGGTGTCTGTGTTGACATTTCTAGGACATGAATGAACCGGCGAGCTTTGTGAATGGGGCAGTTCCTGCAGGCTGCACGGATCCCATTCTGAACCATCCCCCCTACATGCCACGTAAGGACCCTTGCTCCCCTCGCCAGCAGAGCCACGGCCATTGAGAGCCGGGTCGAGGGGTTCTCTCATTTGTGCTGTGGTTTCTTGGAGGGGGAGGGTCGGGGACAAATGTACTTCAAGCACTTCACACCCAGTGGAGTGTGCAAATCCCTGGGCATGTTGAGTAGTTTCTCAATTTTTTTCAGAAAGCACATAGCAGTGGTAAAGTCTCCAAAGGACTCCTGAGCTAGATTTCTCAGGGGAATTTGCTGTCACAAAGTAATATGTCCCCCTTATCACAGAGTGGGTAGACTTTGGAGTTATACTTTTGTTCAGAGATCATTCTCTCTGTGGGTTATGTGACTTTCCACAGATTACATGATGTTTCCAAATCTCAATTTATAAAACCTAAGTTGCTGCTGACAGTGTTATATTCATAACATTTTGATAAGAATTATGATAAATGATTTACACATTAAAAACCTAGAACAGGGACAGTCATGCACTGTTTGACAACTGTGTGCTCTTCCCCAATCCCTGCTTTCTCCAGTAAACTAGATATTGAATGTATCTAAAGGTAACATTGCAGCTCAGAGCTGCGTACCCTTGCAGACAGGGAAAGGCACTCATCAGAGGTCAAATTATCTCAAGACCCAGGATCCAGTCTCTTGAAAAGAAGCACAAGACACTTGGGATCAGAGCTGGCTTTAACATCCTTGTATCTTCTCCCCCAGACCTGGAGTCCAGGGGCACGGGCCTGAACAGCAAGACCTTGTGCATGGAGAGCGAGCAGATCCTGCCAGACGGCTCCCGTGTGCGGCACTACGACGTGCACAGCCTGTACGGGTGGTCCCAGACCAGACCCACCTACGAGTGAGTCACTGTCTCCCTTCTCCACTGGGTACAGCCTGCAGGACAGCCAGTGATGGATGAAGCTACTGTGTAGCAATTCTTCTAAACTTCCACTTTGATTATGGTCCTGTCTAAATATTGATGGAGTTTGTGGATTCAAAAGGCTTCTGTAGCCTAGAGAGCTCATGTCAAGAGCCTCAGGTGATTACTGACGTCATACATAAGAGTGTTTGTTATTAAATTAACAAGAGTCACTGGGCACTAACTTCCTATGGAGGACCTCTGTCCTCAAAGAGTTGTATTATGAGAGTTCACAGTAGAACTTGTTCTCAAACACTTGTTTCATTTTAGTGTATCAAGTGGAGGATATTTTTATGTCTCATAAGTTTTAGCTGTAAGTATTCAGTTCCATTCCTCGATTCCTAGGTGCTTCCTTAATGATAGTTACCAGTGGCACAGGGAATGCAGAGGACAGGGTATCCCCTTTATTTCAAACTTGAATCCTCTTGTAGGGATTTCTTTATTTGGTCATTCTTTCTGGGTTGTCAATGAATGCTCTATGGAATTAGCACATAGATGTGTCTGAGGTCAATGAATGATACAAATTATCCTAAGAAAAATTGTGTAAGAGAATTCATCCTCCCTCCACCAGTACACAAAGCCCGGTGCAGTCATGGAGATATGTTCTGAAAAATGCACTGGGAGCCGGTGACATCACCGTGTGAGCCTTCCAGAGTCGCCCACACGGAGCTGAGGACGTGGGCCAGTCACTCACTGTGATGCCTGCTGCGGTCATCAGACGCAGTAACTCTGAGAACACAGGACGGCCGCAGGCGTAGAATCACATATATTTTATAGTAAATCTAGTTTTTACAAGCATTACTCAAAATAATGCTAAAATACTTTGTATAGAATATGAAACAGGTACATCAACGGCATTCATTTGCACTAAGCAGTGTAAAGTACTGTATGTAATTGTGGGCGGGCCATGTTTTATTTGAATGGCAGTGCAGTAGGCTTGCTGACGCCTGTAGTATCACAAACACATGGAAGGTGTTGTTCTGTGGCTAACCCTGCTTATCCCATCACTGGAAAATAGGAAGTTTGGACTCGATTACAATTTTATGGGATCACCATTGTGAGTCTGAGCCATGACTGATTGGAAGAACATTATATGGAGCATGAATGCAATGAGTAAAAAAATAGAAAATTTGCAATATTTAGTGATATTTTCTGTCATTAACTCACCTCCTTTCCCTCCACCAGAGCCGTGCAGGAGGTGACGGGACAGCGAGGGATCGTCATCACCCGCTCCACGTTCCCCTCTTCTGGCCGCTGGGGGGGACACTGGCTGGGAGACAACACAGCCGCGTGGGACCAGCTGAGGAAGTCTATCATTGGTGTGCAGCCTTGTGGCAGGGCCCCTGCTGGCAGGGAGGGGGCGGTGAGGGGGGAGGAGGCAGGGCTCAGGGCCTGGTCTCACCCCGCTGTGGTTCCCTTTGCAGGCATGATGGAGTTCAGCCTCTTTGGCATTCCCTATGTAAGTGTCCCTGGATCCCTCCTGCTGACCTGGGAGCTGGAGCCAGCGTTCAGAAACCCTCAGCAGGCCCCTTTTCTTGCTTCTCGGTTCAGACAGGAGCAGACATCTGTGGGTTCTTTCAAGACGCTGAATATGAGATGTGTGCTCGCTGGATGCAGCTGGGGGCCTTTTACCCCTTCTCCAGGAACCACAACACCATTGGGACCAAGGTAGGGCATTCGCTGCTCCCTCAAGTGTTGTGTGTGGTGTGAAAGGCGCCCTCCATTTGTGAGCTACAATTTCTTCAGTCGGTTTTCACTGGGGGTATCTTTAGATTATTCAACCCAGTGTCTGCATGAACAGTACTTACCTATATTCTTTAGCTTACCCTTTTATTTAGACAGTGCATCCCAAGAAGAATGCCTTATGGGAAATCTCACTATGTGCTCTTCCAGTCTGTTAGCAATATTCCGTGACTTACTCGGGCATCATCTGTGGTGTGGCTGTGTGTGGTCCCCATCAGGAATAAGCTCTCAGTGACTTCCTCAACGTCCCCTAGGCTGAGCTCCTCACAGTCCTCTTCCTCTTTTGCAGAGACAGGACCCTGTGTCCTGGAACGCCACCTTTGTGAATCTTTCCAGAAGCGTCCTGGAGACCAGATACACCCTGCTGCCCTATCTCTACACCCTGATGTACAAGGCCCACGTGGAGGGCAGCACAGTGGTGCGGCCTCTCCTGCACGAGTGAGTGTCTAGTGGGACCTCAGTGACCAACGGGTGACTTCCTGCCTTCCTTGGGGTAGCAGGGAATGAAAACAATGATTTCAGAATGGAGATAGGATTGCCTTGAGACAAACTCTGTATTCACTAACCATATGCTATTACCCCTTTCTGCACAGTGATACATGCCATAGATAATTGATAAAAGGTTCTTTCTTTAATTTAAATGATATACTTGAGCACAGGGTTGCTTCTTTTCAATTTTCACTTTGGCTGTGTGAAGCCCACCTGGCATCCATAGCTATTTTGTCATGTGTTTTCCCAGGTCCCAGTGTGCTCAGGTCCCACAAGAAGGCATTTTCCAAGTATGCTTGAGGGATCAGGGCCTTGCTTGCATTTAAAGTGTGCACAGTGAAGTCCTGTGGAAATATTTTATAGTAGAGAAAATAGCTACACCTAATAAGCTCTGACATTTAAGGTTCATGTCCTAGGACAGATGGCTGTGGGCCTGTGTGTTCCTGAGTGAGCCAGGCCTAGGCCAGCAGTAAGGATCCTCAGGTGCAGCGGGTTCCTGACTTGGGTCTGAGTTGAGGACTTCCTTCAGGGCTGGGCTGGGCTGGCTGGGCTGTGACTGACTGTGGCACGTTCATATCCTTTCCAGGTTTGTGTCAGACCGGGTGACCTGGGACATAGATGGTCAGTTCCTGCTGGGCCCGGCCTTCCTGGTCAGCCCTGTGCTGGAGCCTGTGAGTAGGGGGCCTCTGGTGGGCAGAGGGTCTCGGCTGTGAGGCTGGAGAACAGTGTGGGGAGAAGAGGCCTGGTGCCGGGTCCTGACACCTGCTTCTTGTCCTGCCTCTGTCTCTTCCTGTTCTCCTGAGCCTGTCACTCAGGGACTCTGGGCCTCAGCTCCTACAGCTCTCAAAGCTGCCCAGCAATTGTGGTTCTTAGGACGATCAAATATGATGTATGTAAGTGTATTCATTTCTCTGTTAGTGGAAACGATGCATACAAGGTCAG